GTGGTAAATGAGGCTGACAGCTCCCCTTATCGGGGAGGATGGAGTCCCAGAGGACCCAGGATGCCCAATGCCAGGGGGGCATCTCCCCACCCGTGAAGTCCCCAGCCACCCTTCCTGGGACCCTGGGGCCCCAGCGTGTCAGCTGCTGAGCCCACAGCTGCTGGGAGGTGGTTCCTCGACGGTGGCCCCCTGGCACCTGCTGTGGTTTATTTCTGGAGCCACAGCTGAGTCATGGGGTGGGGGGAGTGAATGGGGCCGGGGGGAGGGGAGTTTGCAACTGGAAGAAGAGAAGACGGAGGGGGGAAAGAGGGCTCTAGGACCTGGGACTCTGGGGCCTAGGGTCCATCCCTGTGGGTGAAGAGGGACAGATGCTACAGCATGAGGAACAGGAGTTAGGTTACAGGAGGGACGTCCACATTGGAGCCCCTGGAATAATGGGGCTTGGGGAAGGGGTGGGGGAACAGGGGCAGAGTCTGCTGCTCCTGAAATCTTGGAGAAGAGACAAGCCTGATCTGGGTGTGAGGGGGGCTCTGCTGGAAAGAGAGAGGAGAGGGGAAAGGGGCCCCTAGGGTGGAGGGAAGCAGAAAGGTGGATGTGGGATTTTAGGATCCTGAGAGAGGAAACAGACAGGACCATGTTTTCCTCTGCTTCCAGATCACAGACTCATTAGGTCCCTCCTCCTGCCCTTGAGCCAAGCAGCCCCTTCCCTGGTTTCATGACTTGAGACGCTCCTCTTTGTCTTTCTAAGGTGGGCCTGCAGACTCAGGAACGGGTGCCTGGGTCCTTTCTTTACTCACTTGAACTGCATTCACGAGAAACTTTCTTTTTCCCCTTCCCAGGAAGACCTTCAAGTCTAACTTCCATCCATCCTGCTGCTGGACTTAGCCGTTCTGGAACTCAGCCTCCATGTGGGGTAGGGATGGGGGCCCAGAGGGACCCAGTGGCCTGTGCCCAAGCCAAAAGTCCTCTCGAGTTTCCTGGGCTTGGGTAGGCTTGGTCCCCATTCCCTCCCCTTTCTATGGGCAGCTCTGGAGGGCACATTCCTGCTGAAATTAAATCACATTCCTCCTCTCTGCCTGACAAGGATGGCATTGCTGACAGCAGCTGTGACACTGCAGGGTCAAGTGGTAGCAGCTGGTTCCCCAGGGAGGGGCTGAGATGGGGGGGCTGAGGGGAGCTGAGGGACCAGGTCCTTTGGAAGCAATGAATGAACTCTGAGTCTTTGATTTCAAGAGGCCTCCCACCCTGCAGTGGGAGGGATAAAGGTTAGACCACAGGGTGCCATAGCTGTGTGGAACCTCGGGGAGTGATCCAGTCCAACCAGTACTGAACAGATGGGAAAACCAAGGCCCCCAGCATCACTCTCTGAGAGGACCCCAGAAGGCCACCCTCTCCCCACCCCTGGACTGGCTCCCACAGCCACAGGAGGCTGAGGGGGCCCTTTAAGAGGCCACTCTGAGCTCCCTTGGCTGGAGCCCAAAGACTGGGACTTCGATTTCCTCTGAGGCTCTGGCCGTGGCAGCGGCAGCAGGGACAGCATCAGGCGGCTGGATGGAGAGCTCAGCCCCTGACCTCACCCTCCCGGCGCCTCAGCCTGCACAGCCTTATAAGGAAGTGCCCCAAACAAACTGAGGAAGCCACCTCCGGCCCCCCACCCCGTTCAGAGGCTATATTTACCCAGAGGAGGCCCCAGAATAACCTCCCACTTGTCCTTGTGCTGGGGAGGTGGGGGGGGGCAGGCGGCTGGTTCTGCCTCCTCATTCCCTCCCCTGGGGACTCCACCCTCCAAAGTGCTTCCTGTTGTCTGATCTCATCACAGTCATTCATTCATTCATTTATTCATTTATCCAGTACTTGTTCACTGAGCACCCCCGGGCCCCCAGCCGCTGTGCTGGACAAAGGCCTCACTTTCCCGGAGCTTCTACAATGACGGGGTCTTCCCAAGTGCCACAGTCCTCTGGGCCTCCTACCCTCTGGCCTCTCCTTCTCCGGCTCCTGCCCAAGTGTCTCCTCTCTGCTGGGAGTTCCCTGGGGGCTCTGTCCTGGGGTCTCTCTGGGTGACCTCTAGGCCAACAACCCTCCAATTCTTGTCCTCACCTGGTCCTCTCACCCAAGCTCCACAGATCCACCTTCCCCCGGGGCAGCTCCTCTTGGAGGTCACAATTTCCTGCTGGATTCTCCAGCTCAGAAGATGGGACCACCCTCTGCCAGCTGCCCTGGAACCTCGCTGCCTTATCCCCCCTCCATCTCCCACAATGGATCACCAAGTCCTGAGACTGCTTCCCTTACGTATCTCCTCTCCATCGCCACTGCCACCATATCCCCTGCAGCACCCCTGCCCACTCCAATCTGTTCGCACAGCAGCCAGGCTTTATTTCAAGTGCAGACCTGGTCGTGTCACCTCACTACTTACAACCCTTCGGAGGCTCCTCAGATCCCTTAGGAAGGAGTCCATATTTCCTGGCTGCCTGGCGAGGCCTCAGCCCACTGACCCCTGACTCTCTCTTTAGTCTCATTATGAACCCTCTTCTCCCTCATTCTCCACCTTCTGACCACACAAGGCTTCTTTCTGCTTCTCAGATGCCCAAGCTCTCTCTTCTTGCCCCAGGATTTTGTACATGCTGTTCCCTCTGACCAGAATCCTTTTCCTCCCCCTCCTCTCTCCCACTCCTTCCCCCACTCATCGGCTCCTGCTCATCCTTCAGGTTCTCAGGGCAGCCTTCCCAGACCACCTCCTCCCATACCCCCCAGCCCAGATCAGGGGAGGTCCCCTGCCCTATGCTCCCATAACCTCCCGCTCTTCTCTGTTTTTGAGGATGACTTCCACTCAGAAGCCCGTGTTCAACTAGAAAGTAAAGCTCCCTGAGCAAGGAACCCTGGATCCCCAGCCCCTGCAAGGCACATGGCATAGAGTGCGCAGTAAATATTGGTGAAAAATGACACTCGCTCCTATTATCACCACCAGGAATGTCCCTGTTACTATCTAACCTTCATTTCTCTTGCTGCCTAGACAGACTACCACTGCCAAAGAAAACACGCCTCCCACTGCATACCCCCTTTCAGAAAGACCTCACATCCCTCCCCCTGCCTGGGATTGTTAGCAGAAGCGGCTGGTTTGGCTAACTCTGTAGGGAATCAGGGACCCTGGTATGTGGGGCAGGATGGGACCCTGGGCCCAGGGAAGGACTGCTTGGCTTGTCCTCTGTCCTTGGTCCCTTGCCCAGGAAGGGGTGCCCAAGGGCCTGGGGAGATCAAGGACAGGGCTCTCTGTCCTATTTAGAGGGGCAGGGAGAGCCCAAGGCCTTCCTTGCTTGGATGTCAATGTGCTGGCCCCCAGGCCTGGCAGCCTGGCAGGATCAGACAGGGCCTTGTTAGCACTGGGTACAGGAAGGGAGTGGAGGCTGGGGTTGCCAGAAGGGTGGGGAGAGACAGGATCCTGAACCCCAAGGGCAGGGGTGTGTGTGAAGTTGGGGCCGGGGTGCCCATGACAGAGACTCCTAGATGGAGCAGGAGAAAGGCATGGGCAGAGAAGCAGACAGTGAGATTCTGTCAGGGGGGTCCTGTCCACCCCTTCTTGGCTAGAGGACGAGTAGGGTCCAGAGGGGCTGGGGCTCCATCCGCTCATCTTCCCCTGCCCTTGGCCTTGGGCCTGAGGAGAGGAAGAACCTGCTCTGGGCCTTGGGATTGTCTCTAAATGGGGACCGCTTGTTTGGCGGCCCCTGTCATCACCCCCTCCAACCCCCAACCGGGGATATTTAGAGGTGTTGCCAGATCTTCCTTCCCTCCAAGCTGAGCTGGGGAGTGGTTTCTATTTGGGTATCCTGACTTCAAGGCCTTCAGGCTCCGCCTACTCCAGGAGCCCCTGCTCCCTCCCCGCCCTACACAGGGACCAAAGAACTCCTGGGAAGAGGTGTCAGGGCAAAAAGCCGTGGCTGGGTGGACCCCCCGTCTAACCCCACTACCAGCACAGCACAGTGACCAGCACACCCCCGACAGCTTGTTTATCCCCCGCCTCACCTCCACGTTCCTGTCTCCTGCGTCGGCCTTGAGGAAAGTCCTACTGAAGATCTAAGCTGCAGCCCTCCAGCTTCCCCTAGCCTTCCTCCTGGTCTCCCTGCCCTGGAGGCCCCCAAGTCACCCAGCCCAGCGCCCCTCATTGTTTGGCTGAGTCTGAGGTTCAGAGAGGTTAACGCTGACCGGAGGCCACAAAGCCAGACTAAGGCAGAACTGGCCCCCCTCCCCTCCCCTCCCCCTGCTCTGACCCAGCCAGCAGGAGCAGACATCACAGGCCAGACAATTGTTTGGATTTGGGGGCAAGGGGGCTTATTATGCTGGCGGCACTGAGGGGCCAGCGGGAAGGACACGCAAAGGTGGGGGTGGCCCCAAGGCCTAATCCCTGTAATCAGCACTGTGGGCAGAGATGATGATGGCCTGGCTTCTGCAGGCGCTGAGGTCACCTGGACTGGTCCCCCAGCCAAGTGGCACCCCGCAGCCCTCCCCAGGTCCCCAGCGCTGCTGCCTGCAGCCTTAGTCTGTCTGTCTTGTAACCCCCATGAGGGCTTCCGGGTCCTCCTCTCCTCAGAAGGCAGCCCCTCTCCCACACCAGCAACTCTGGCCTCCTCCCCGCATCTCTCCACTGTCTCTTCTGCTCCTGCACCAGCCCTGAGGCATCCCCTGAACCGGGGAAAGAAGAATCCAGACTTCGTAGGCAGAGGCTTTACTTTATTGAGGCAGGGACGAGCCAGGCAGGGCCACAGCATGGCAGGAATGCGGGGGGTCAGGACATAGGAGCACCCCTCACCCTCACCCGGTGGGCAGACATCCCAGGAGGGCGCAGTGAGGAGGGGCAGGGCTGGTGAGCCCTCTCCCCTCGGAGGAGCTGACGGGATGGGAGAAAGGGGGTGTGGGAAAGGGAGCCTTGTCCATAAAGACTCAGCTGGCTTGAGCCTGATGGGGCAGTGTGGGCAGGATGTCCCCCTCTGCAGGGTCTGAGGGGCTGGTTTTCATTCCTGGAGCCTCCATGCTTGGAACGGGTCCCTCTGCCACATCCCATTTCACCTTGGCCAGCCAGGCCTCCCGGACAGAAACCACAGATCAAGAGATCACAAGTTAAGGGTGCTGTCCCTGGGCAGGGAGGGGCCTTAGGGACATCTCCCCCCGCACATCCTCAGTGCAGGAAAGGCGCTCTTTCTCTAGTCCTCCCCTGAGGACCAGGAATCTCCATCTCCTTCCCTCTGGCTGAACTTCAGGAACTGGCCCGGGCCCAGTTGAAGAGGAGCCCCTGCCCGAGGGGTCTTTAGGGCGCCCCCCTCCTCCTCCTCCAGGGGGCTCCCTCGGTCCCCCTCAGGGGCCCCCAGTTTCCCCTGCCCTACTCCCTCAGACTGCTCCAGCCCGTTCACCACACCCCCATTCACATGCTCCAACTCCTCCTTCAAGCTGGGGCCCTGGCCATTGACATCAAGCGTGTCCCCTACCCCCGGGCCTGTGTCCTCCACTCCACTGAGGGTCTCCAGAGGACCAGGGACTTGGTCCTCCCTCTCCAAGGGAGCAGGGTTAGACTCCTCCTCTGAGGCTGAGGGCTCAGTGCTGTCCTGGGACTCAGTCCCCAGGGCAGGCATAGGGGCATCGGCTGTCACGCCCCTCAAGCCATCATCCCAGGGGACACTGACATCCATGGTCTCAGACTCCAGGAGGTTCCCTCTCTGAGGGCTACTCAGGGCCGGGAGGCTGCCAACAGAGGACCCTGGGCCCCACTGCCCAGCCCCTGGCTCCCTCCCCTCCTCTTCCTCTTTGTCTTCTTCCTCTCCCTCCTCCCCACTCTCTTCCTCATCTGCAAACCCATCCGACTCCCCATCCCGATCCCAGGCTGCAGGCTCCAGGAGCAGCTGGGGCACCTGGCCCAGAGGTTCCCCTGCCTCCCCAGGGACCCCAGGAAGGAGAGAAGCCTCAGTCCCCAGATCCTCAAATTCCTCCGACAAGTCCGAGTCCTGGCCACATTCCTCCTCCTCATGTCCCTCCCCCTCCTCCAAGGGGTGGGCCCCACGGCCCTCAGAGGCCAGGACAGCAGGATCCCAGCCTTCCTTTCTCATCTCCCCTTGAGGGGAGGGCCTCTGCTCCCCAGCCAGGTCCCACTTGGGGGAAGCAGGGGACCTGAGGTAGAGGCCCAGGGGTGTAGAGTCGGGAAGAGTCTCCCCCAGCTCGTCAGCCTCACTCTCTTCTCTGCTCTCCTCCCCCTCCTCCTGGAGGCCCTCGGGGATGCCCCCAGAACCCAACTCCTCTTGCTCACTCTCTACCTTCCCCAGGGCCACAGCCCTGCCCTCCAGCTCCCAGCTAGCCTCCTGGCTCCCCTCAGCCAGGGGCTGGGGTCCAGGGGCATCTTCAGGGATTGGGGTGGGTGACCAGGGCTCAATGGGCCTGGGGCTGGGGGGCCCCAGCACTAATTTTGCATCCTCCACTGCTTTCTCTGACCCCAGGGGCCTGGGTTGAGGAATATCACTTCCATCATGGCACAAGTTCTCAGCAGGGAACACCTGTTCTGCTTCCCAGGGGGCCTCAGGCTCTGACTCCTCCCAGCAACTGGAAGGCTCCAGGGGGTCTCTGCTCTTCTTGGGCAGTGTGGAGAGCTCTGGCTCCAGAGTAGCTGCCTCCTCTAGGTCCTTTCCAGGCCCTTCCAAGCCCTGCACCCTCTTTGCTTCCAAACCTTCCTTGCCCAGGAGTGGCTCCATCACCTCCTCTATAGCCAGGTGGCCTGGGTCCTCCAGCTCTACCGTCTCCTGCCCCAGTCCCCGCTCGGTTCCCACAGCAGACTCACCCAAGGCTGTCTCTAACCCCAAGGTGACCTCTGGGGAGGCTCGGCCATCCCTTGGGGCCTCATCCTCATCTTTCACCACCGGCTCTATCACCTCTGACATTCCCCAGGGAGCTCCGAGGCCTGGGGCCCCCACCTGCTCTGGCTGCCCTTCAGGGTCTTGGAGGCCCTCAGTGCCTCCCTCCCTACCAGCTCCCTCAGCTGGGACCCTCTGCTTTTTGGGCTCAGGGCTCCCTGGGTGCCCCTCCTCTGTGGCAGTCAGCTGCAGCTCTCCCTGCTCTGCAGACTCTTCCTTCCCAGCCAAGCCACCCTGCTCCCTCAGGTCTAGCTCTGCCTCATCCTCACTGTCCACTCCAGCCCTCCCAGGGGGCGTTTCCTGATCCAGTTCTTGGTCCCCCGCCACCATATCTTCCCACTCCTGCCAATTTGCAGACAGTGGCAGCTCCTGTCCCTCCTCTTCCACAGACGTCAGGGACTCCTGATTCTCTCCCTTCTCCACATTCTCTTCCTCTTCCAGGTACCTTTGACTTTCCTTGTCTACCTCTTCTGGAGATCTCAAATCCTCTAGGTTACATTCTCCCAGAGATCTCAGTGATTCTTGATTTTCCTTTTCTAGGGGTCTCAATGTCTCTTGGTTTTCTTCCACAGACTCTAGTGGTTCTTGAGTTTCCTTTTCTAGAGGTCTCATTGTCCCCTGATTCATTTCCTCTAGAGACCACAGTGGCTCTTGGGTTTCTAGAGATTTCAGCATTTCCAGATCTTGTCCTGTAGATTTTAGTGGTTCTAGATTCTCTGTTTCTAAAGATCTCACTGCCTCTACACTCCCTTCTTTTAGGGACCCCAATAACTCTTGATCCTCTTTTTCAACAGGTCTAAATATCTCCTGGTCTTTTCCAAGAGACTTCAGTGGCTCTGGTTTCACTTTTTCTAGAGGTCTCAATGTCATCTGGTTCTCATCTTCTAGAGACCTCAGTGGATCCTTGTTCTCTTTTTCTAGAGGTCTCACTGTCTCTTGGTCTTCTTCTTCTACAGACCTCAGTGGCTCTTGGTTCTCTTTTTCTAGAGGTCTGATTATCTCCTGGGTCTCATCTTCTAGAGACTTCAGTGGCTCCTGGTTGTCTTTTTCTAGAGGTCTGATTGTCTCCTGGGTCTCATCTTCTAGAGACTTC